AAAAAAAAAAAAAAAAAAAAAAAAAAAAAAAAAAAACACATCTTAGTAAAACCAATACCTTCTCAGCTTCGCATCGAAGCTAAAATGTTTAAAGTAAACAATAATATTTCAGGTTTTATTATGATTTAATTATTTAATTATAGTTAAATACTAATAAGTAATTATTTAAAAACTAGATGTAATTGAAAAAATATGAAGGCCGATTTGGAATCAGTGTCGAAATTTCTTATACATACAATTTACCTAAATATTGAGGACAGCAAAATGTCTTCTGTGTAAAATATTACCTAAAAATAGAAATTTCTAAATCAATGTTATTTATCTTCAGAAGTACATATTTTTAACTAATATAAATATTTTTAAATAGGATTGATTGTTGCTGGTTTATCAAGAAATAGCACTGAAGTAATGTTTCTCACTTTTGGATATGGTTTAGTTCAAGTACTTATTGGAGGTAATGTCAAGTATTTCTAGCCAATTTTTCAACAATAATAGTAAAATTAAGAAAAATATATTTTTAATATAATTTAAGTAATCATAATAATGATTTACGCGTTTTATCCTTTACGTTAAAAAACATTTTCCTTTAATGTAAGTACTTTGAAAATTTATAATTTACCAAATAGTTTATAACTGTATAATATGTGGCAAGATTGTGAATAATAAATGGTTGCTTGTACACCGTATTTGCAGTAAACATACTATATAGAGTGAAATGGATCTAATTGACAATTCATATAACTTATGATCTTCATAAAATTTTATGCTTTTTTTTTTAATCAATTTTTGCAATATAGAATTATATTTAAAATATGTTTTATATTATTTTTCGCAATTATAAAAAATATTTTAAAAATACATTTTTTTATTAAAATTTTTTTGAAGATTTTATAGATAAGTTTTAAAGGAAAAATTTGATACCAAAAGGTCTTAATTTAATTAAGTAGTTACATATATACAGCATTTTGAAGTTTGTTAAATTTTGATTTTTTTTACAATTTTCCTATGATATCAAATGTTAGTCCATACATAGACAAGTATACTATAATGGAAAATACAACCATGGAACACTCGTAGTTGACATACGATAATGTTTCTTACTTTTGTAATAAAGATTAGAGATAATCATTTCTGTATAAAGCGCGTTAAATGTTATTATTATCCATGGAAAAATAATCGCGTACTGTTACCAGTAAATAATATAATAAGTGTTTACTTCTATACTTTACATAATATGGACTAACATTTGATACCATAAGAAAATTGTAAAAAAAATCAAAATTTAACAAACTTCAAAATTTTGTAAACATGTAACTACTTAATTAAAATAAGATCTTTTGGTATCAAATTTTTTCTTTAAAACTTATCTATAAAATGATTATCTTCAAATCTTCAAATTTTTTTTTAAAACTATGGATATAGAATATAATCAATACATTAAAACAATTAACTTGCATAGAAAAAATTAAATTTTTGCTAAAAAAAAACAACATATGAGACAATACTGCCTCAATATGATATAGTATATAGAAGTATATACAATACTCCAAAATGCTGTATAAACGTAACTACTGAATTAAAATAAGAGCTTTTGGTATCAAATTTTTTCTTCAAAACTTATTTTTAAAATGGCTATCTTAAAATCTTCAAAAAAATTTTAATAAAAAAATTTATTTTTAAAATATTTTTTGTATTTGAAAAAAATAACATAAAACATATTTTAAATATAGTTATATATTGTAAAAATTGATTAAAAAAGTATAATATGTTATGCAGATCATAAGTTATATGAGTTATCAATTAGATCTATTCTACTCTGTATATGGTACACAACTTCAATTTAATTGTTTTTGTCGCTATGATACCAGAAAAATTCTTTTGAAAAATGTGGTGTCTTATTTATAATAAATCACATTGTATAATATAATATATTTTTCATCACACAAATGTTAATAATTAACCAAAGATGAGTATTGATATGTGAAGCTAAACTGATTATTTGAATCTATGTTTTTACAAAAGAAATTACACATGTTATCACACAATTTTATTTGAGCTAAAGTCACTATGTGTAAATATTTGATTCGTCTTACTTTTGTAAACATCATTTTCAAATTATTTTTAACAAAAACCTTTGAAGAATTTGAAATTTTTTTAAGTATCTGCTACCATAATATAGAGCGAGTTAGATCTTATTGACAAATTTTTTAACTATTGTTTCAATTAACGTTTTTATGATTTTTTTTTTCATTTTATATTATGAAACTGTGATAAAAAAATATTTTTTTATATTTATGTCATACGAGAAAAATGTTCCTTTTAATTTTAAAATTGTTATCGACCAATTGTATCATATAACATTATTTGTTATATGATATAATTTTATTTGTAAGAAAACCGTAATTTTTTTTTACAAATATCACTAACATGCTTGAATTAAGAGCGGCGAACGCTTCGGGGTTTATGATCTTAAAGGGCCCATTAAAAATTTTACTAGCCTATCATGATTTTTATGATTAGTTTTTCTTTTTTTTTTTTTGAGAGAGAGATTTCCTTTAATAGTATATTGAACAGTTTTACATCCTTCTATTCCCCAAACTTGACATGCTATAGAGAGTGGTGACCTTCTTTCACATGTTAGGAAGTCAAAGATGGTTCTTGGCTAAGACAAATATGGTCTGGGACTGTTGTTATGGCCAGCTTTCATTAGAGACTAGACAACGCCTATGAGAAAATCACAAGAAAAAACTCATTGGCATCCTGGGGATTCAACCCGCGTTCGCTGAAATATACGATTTTACCCACTAAGCCAGACCGACCCTATTTTCTATAATAGTATAAAACTCATTAAATATGATACATTTTTGAAACAAATGGGTTTAGAAATTAATTTCATAATGGATATAAACGTTTAGAAATCTATTAAAAATATGATTTTTCTAGAAGAATAAAAATTTTACATATTAATTTAAAGGTACCTCAAAACTTACACCAGTTAATTTTTTTAACTATAACAAAAATAAGCGACTTCAAAATTTATTTCTTATTATGTGGGATACATTCTAAGAGTATTTTTCTATTTCTATTTAAATACTCATGCGGTTAACTTTTTTTTTTTTTGATTGAATATTTTAAATACATGAGCATCATATTAAATTAATATAACATGCAAGCGGGCTTTTTAATAATAATTTGGCCTGTAACAACAACGTGGTTTGCCACTTGCATAACGACTAGCTATAGTAGCAAGGGTCACCACCACCTAGGCGAGGTGTCACATCTATCAGATATGATTACCGGATCATAGGTGGAATTTAATTTTAAGTTAATTAAAAGTATAATCTAAGTTAATATGTCGTTATATGTATAAATTACTATAACGCCTAGTGGTTTATAGAACACAATTATGACAATCAAAGTTGTATGTGGTTGATATGTAAAACATACCGTAGCCCGTGTCTAGATTAAGGAATAGGAATGAAATACACGCGAGTAATTAAGTTACTCGCGCAATAAAATAAATATTACAGTTGAAATTAATAAGGAAATTTAATTTAATTGTTAAAAAAAGAAAATTAAGTTAAACATGGACAAAAATGCGAATGCATCAAAAACCATGTCTACAAATAAAGGCAATACAAATAAAATAAAATATTTAAACAAATAATATTACAAACATCACGGACGGTATTGGAACACATCCGTTAATGTTAATCGGAAATTAATGAAGAACACCAGGAGCGGTCTGGACACTCGCTCCTTAGCGTTGGCTAGAAGAAAAGGGAAACACGTGCTCTCCACACATAAACAAAATTAAGTTAATTTACAATAAAATAAAATGAAATAAAATAATTAATAAAATATAGCTCATTACATAAATATAATATAAAAAAGAAAACGATACCCGGTCTCCGAAGAGACCCATCCGATGGTCTGGATGCTTCGTCGAAAAGACCTGGCCATTCGCCGTTGGCGGCTCACTCCATCATTGAAAAAAAATGTCAATAAAACAACAAATGTGTGCACCCTAGCACGGTCAATGACAGAAGAAAGAATAGAGAGGAGTCAACACCGATCTAACGGCAATTTCAAATCGGTAACGGCCAGTCTTTTTGGAAGGGATCAATACTGATAAACAATTCGATTTTAATTATATTTCTCTTTTATCGCCTTATCTAGCGGTCAGAGGCAAAATAATGAGTGGTTGACACCGCTGTGTCAGAAAAAGGTTCTTTCGCGCGATAAAATAAATAAGTAGACATAACAAAAAAATCATAAACGGTCCACCTTCGAATTTGTGACGTTACAAACAATAAAATAGATATAAAATAACTTGAATTACATATATATGAATATTACAGAAATAATAACATATGTCCGGCACGACAATGAGTATGGTGCGTGGGACGTTTCTCTGATATGGATGTCAGATGTTTGCTAACGCGGAGCTTATGATTATTATGACGTGACTGTCCGTTTATTGAAGCTGATTCTTGATTTGTTGGTGACGATGCGTGTGGATTTGCTATAGTCTCTGTCGTGGCTGGTTTCGACAGACTGTTTGCGTATGGGCTTTGATGTGGTACGAGATTCGCTTGATGGTTACTCACATAAGCACTATTCTATATGTTACAACATACATATGTGGACAAGGGACACGCCGCAACACACATAAGTGGGTCAGGGAGGTTGAAAGGATGATTGTTGCCCCGCCGATGGTTAACAAAATTCTCGACTATAGCGGTGACCTCGACATCGCTAGGGCGGTATGGGCGGATGTCAACGGTAATGATGGCTGCTGAATGCATCGGTGATGACGATGGCGTTGACATACATGGACCCATATTCGACTGCGATGTCGAACGGTGACGGTAACGATAATGGACGACGATCGGCACAAACGGTGATGACCTGTAAAGCGGCAACTGTGGATGTTGGCGACAGCGGTAGTGAACGATGGTGTGCAGTGATGGTGGACCATGTTCGGCAACAGCAGCAATTGTTCAGCGATGGCGGCAACTCGGCTGGACAGTTGAAATTGGACGGTGGCTTTAGTACTCTATTTTTTCGGTGAATTTACTGAAGAGTGTTGAATGGATTAATTTATTCTCTTTGCTCAGCATTCTCTTTGCTATCTCGCGTTTGTTTCACTGTGGTAGCGTGAATTCTTTTTTTTTATTTTTGTATTTTATATATTTTTTTTATATTTGTATAAAAGTTTCAAATATAATTAAAAAATAATATTTTAATAATTTATATGAAACTATCATAGATTTTTATGTTGTTTTTAGTTTAATTGTTTAATAGTTTGAAAATATGTTAATATATATTTTTCTACCTAGGTGTAATGTGGCCAATAGAAGCGCAAGTCTGGTTCTTGCGTATTGTTTCTTATAACCTACCAATGACTGTAAATGGAAGGTTATTAACGAATTTAGTTGTAAAAGGACTACCTCTTGGTCATCCAGAAATAGTGATTGACTTCGTGAAATCTATAGCACATATTTTTGTTCATATCGGAGCAGTATTTTCTTTAAAATATATAAAAAATGACTCTTGGATTATACATAAATAATAAATATAGTGTCTTGTTATATATATATATATATATATATATTTTTTTTTGTTTGTATGTATTTAGAATAAATCCTAAACTATGTCTCACGAAATATTTTCGAAAATATTAATATTTGTAATTAATATAACATTTTTTTGTTTTATTTTAAATTAATGAACTATAAGAATTCTTCATACAAAAATCGATTTAAAAACTGTGAAACTAGATTAATATTTAGTATACTTTACAATTTACTGTATCATATCAATTTCATCGAGAAATAAACATATATATTGTTTTTTTTTTTCAACATTTTAATCGTAATATTAACGTATTTGTATTTATATTGCATATATTATTTATATTACTTTTTATTATAATAAAATGTAATTTCAGTTCGACAAAATTTTTTTCATATTAACTCATCATATTAGGTATATTAGAATTTAACCTCAAAATTAAATTTTAATGTAAACAATTTTTGTTTAGTTCAGTTCTATCTACGTGACACAGTTAGACTTTAATTATGCACGTGTAGTTTCTATATTTTTCGATATATTTAAATTTTTTCATTTTCACTATTGATTAAGTAAAATTAAAACTATATTAAAAATATTATTAATTTAAAAAACTAAAAAATATTAAACTCAAAGCCACAAAAAAATTAATGAAAAGTTGCGGATACGTATTTCGGAAACAATGTTACCATTATCAACGCTAAACACATGTGGCTTTGAGTTTAATATTTTTAATATTTTTTAGTTTTTTAAATTAATAATATTTTTAATATAGTTTTAATTTTACTTAATTAATTAGCCACAAGTGATCAATTTTTATTATATATTTCACTATTGGATATTTAAAATTCCCAAAAATGCGCAAATTGTCGAGGTGGATATGTCATCTACTTAATAATGATGGTAGTTCATTTAAAGTAATTTTGCATATAAAATACCCTAAGATTTTGTTAAATTGTCAATAGTCAAATCAAAACGAAAATCTAAAATACTCAGTATGATTGGAACTCAATATAAAGGAGATAATACATGTATTAGTATAAATTGAAATCTGACAGTGTAGTGGTGAAATGAATAAATATTCTCAAGAGAACTTTCTCGGCAATAGAAATATTCCTCAGAATATTATTCTGCGGAAGAATATTATATTCATGAAAAAAAAAAAGATTTAAATAAAATATAAACATTTAATCGAATTTTTAAATTATTTTAAATATTGATTATCTATTGACACGGCCCCTGCATTGTCTCCTCAGCCACCGCGACACTGAAAACTAGACCGTTACACACACGCGTTGTCGTCGTGGTGTAAAGTCCAACAAATGCTAATTTTTCAAATCGCTAATTTTCGACATTTTTTCAATTTTAGCTTCGATGCGAAGCTGAGAAGGTATTGGTTTTACTAAGATGTGTTTATTTTTTTATTTTCCATATCTGTTACCACTTTTTCTCAGCTCTCACCGAACCGATTTCTTTCAATGATACATCAAAAGATCACATATCGTATCTAGTCGAAGACATTAACCTTAAAAATTGAAAAAAATTCTCTCGTTCCCCGTAAATGGGGGAAACCTCCAAAAAAATTACAAATTTAAAAATCGCTAATTTTCGAAATTTTTTCAATTTTTTTAACTTAAAAGTGCTATAACTTTTTCAAAAATGAACATATCAATATAATTCTTTTTTATATAGATGTGTAATATCATTACCTTTCGTTTGGTATATTTTTTTCATAAATTTAACCCTTAACCTGCCCACAAGGGGGGATTTAAAATGACAACAAAAAAAATTAACTTTTTAAAATGTTCCGGAAGGTCTGACACTTTTATATATATCTTAAATTAAAGCTAATGTAATGTTCTTTATTATGCAAAAAAAATTCAGACTTTATTTTATCTTCACAATGAAAATGGCTACCAAATGCTATTTTTGTGTGAAAATTTTCGATTTTGTATTTTACATTTTTAACTATATTATGCTATAACTTTTTGAAAAATGTATGGATCAGTACAATTTTTTCATGAGGAGTAGTATTTATGTGCATCTTTCATTCGATCTACTGTTTTTTTTAAATCGGACCATTTCCCTATATACGAGGGGGGTTCAAATCTAAAAAATGCATGTAGAAAGTAGAACTTTTTCAACTTAAATTTTGAAAGTGTTCCGGAAAGTTTGACACTTTTATATATATCTTAAATTAAATCTAATGTAATATACTTTATTATGGTAAAAAAAAATTTCGGACTTTATTTTATCTTTATGGTGAATATAGACATCAAAGTTTATAAAAAAAATACGATTTTTGTAAAAAAATTCTTTTTTATATTTTTAACTTTATAATGCTATAACATTTTAAAAAATCAATATAATTTTTTTTTTATAGATGCATCATGTCTTTACCTTTATTTGGTATATTTTTTTTATAAATCTGCCCACAAGGGGATTTAAAATGACAACTTTTTCACAAAAAATTAATTTTTTCAACTTAACTTTTGAAAGTGTTCCCGAAAGTCTGAAACTTTTATATATATATATCTTAAATTGAAGCTAATGTAATATACTTTATCACGAAAAAAAGAAATATTGGACTTTATTTTGTCTTCACGATGAAAATGACTACCAAATGCTATTTTTGTGTGAAAATTCTCGATTTTGTATTTTATATTTTTAACTTTATTATGCTATAACTTATTGAAAAGTGTATGGATCAATACAATATTTTTTATGAGAAATAATATTTATATCCCTTATTTGTTCAACATACTTTATCTTAATCAGGATATAAATAAGGAAATATCAGATCATGTAGCTTTTGGAATAATCCAACATTTTTTAAAATAAAACACTATCTAAAGATTGGCATCGAATCGTTTTTGATGATAGTTATTTTAATCACTGTCAGATATCATTATACTTGACCCAACTATGCCACGTCACCACTGTGACACGACCCCCCTGTGCTGGGTTTTTTTAGTTGTAGATTGATATTTTAAATATATATATATAAATATATCATTTTAAATAATATTAGCCACATTCATATTAAAGATTTGGCCGATAATATCTCTTAACTCATTATTTCAGAAGTTATTAAAATTTTTTTAATTAGATCGGATGAGGATTGCGTCTAAAATATGTCTATTGATAAATATATTCATACACATGAATCACTAATAGTCTACATTTTAAAATGGTAATAACTACCGAAATGATGGGTTAACATTTGTTATCGAGCAGTCATTTTCTTAGTTGGATTGTTTTATATTATACATTATATGTATTCTTTTGTGAGCATATTTTGTTAAAAGCTGGACAATTTCTCTGACTATGTTTTCGACCACATTTAAAACAATCATAAGTTATTTCACATTTGGTTTTAACATTGTGTTTATTTTGAATATCTTGGCCTTCAGTAGTTCGTTTTCTATTAGAGAAGTCAGGCATGTTTTTTTACTTTACTATGCTTTTTTAACTTTAATAGCACTAAACATTTCATTCATTTGTTTTTTGGTTGCTACCAATTTGTTTGCAATATCAATCGCCTTTTCTAATGTTAAATCAGATTCGTGTAACAGCTTTTCTTTTATTTCCAATTGATTTATACCAATAATTAATTTGTCACTGATCATGTTTTCAGTTACACTGAATTCACAGCTTGATGCCAATGTTCTTAATTTTGTGACATATTCCCCCATGGACTGGTCCGGTTCTTGGTTACAAGAATAAAATTTAAATCGTTCGAATAAAATGTATTTTTTTTTGGTTCGAAATGATTTTTAAACACAGTTATTACGTTATTATAGGTTCTATTTGTTTGCCGGTCAAAGGTGAATGTATTGTAAGTGTCAACTAACTTCTCACCAACAACATTTAACAAAAAAAAAACCCAGCACAGTGGGGTGGCGGCATAGTTGGATCCAATATTCATCTATACTGGATCCAAGTGATCCAATAGTGATTTATGATAGTAATTAAAATCACTATCATACAAAACGCTTCGATGCAAATCTGTAGATAGTGTTTAATTAAAAAAGAAAAGATTTGTCAAAAAAGTAGGTCAAATGAGAGTTGAGAAAATAAATGATAGCTACAAAAAAAAAACCACATAGTAAAATAATATTAATATGAATTTCTTCTCACGAGAGGAGACTACAGTAATGGAATCCTTGATATTTATTGAAGTTATTGAATCTAAATGAGATAAAAATCAAATGAGTTAAACATTTTTTTTTAACTCAAAAAGAATTAAAAAAAAATTCAGTGCCACAGTCGTGAAAGACCCAAGTGTTACCGTCTCAAAAACCGTACGTCTCATTCGTCACTTAATAAAAATGGAAATTTAGCTAGTTCAAATTTTAAAATTATTTTTCTCGACTTCAAAGAAACAAAAAAATTTAAATATGATTAATTTTTTATACTATGTCATTTAGATTGATATAATATTTATGAAAGTCAGTGTAATCCCCTTATAATAAAATAAAATACAAAACCAAGAATTTTAACACAATAATAGCATATTTTTAAATACAGTAGCAATTTTCACCATGTATTCTCCTAATAAGATATTTTAAAATAAAATAAAATACAAAACCTAGAATTTTAATAGAAAAATAGCATATTTTTGAATACGGTAGCCATTTGCGCATAGAAGATAGGTCGTCGGGACAAATTTTTTTTTTCATTTTGTAGTACATAAAATAAGCTTTAATTTGATATATGTTTAAAGGACGCAGTATTTTCGAAACATTTTCAAAAATTAAGTTGAAAAAAAGTTACTATTTTAAATCCTCCTTGTGAGCAGAATAAGTGTTAGATTTTCAAAATAAACGATATCAAACGAAAGGAAATTACCTAAGGTTTCAATATAAAAAAATATTATTTTGATTTGTTAATATTTGAAAAAGTTATGGCAGTTTTAAGTACAAAAAACGTCTTTATAGAAAGTGATTTTTATCGCAAATATTACATTTTTTTTTAAATTTTGACAGCAATTTGCACATAGTAGATAGGTCGTCGGGTAGTTCTATTTTTTATACAATGTTTCAAGTTTTGAACTCCCCTATATATGGGGAAATGTCATAATGTATTTAGAAAAAAATTTGTGCAGAAAATTACATTTTTCGAAAAGTTATAGCGTTTTTAAGTTGAAAATTTAAAATCGAAAATTTTAATACAAAAATAGCGTTTTTTTAACTACGGCAGCCGTTTACATGCAGAAGGTAAAGTGTCAGGACAAATTTTTTTTTTTCATTTTATAGTACATAAAATAAGCTTTAATTTGATATATGTTTAAAGGACACAGTATTTTCGGAACATTTTCAAAAATTAAGTTGAAAAAGTTAGNTAAAGGACACAGTATTTTCGGAACATTTTCAAAAATTAAGTGGAAAAAGTTAGTTTTTGTAAAAAAGTTACTATTTTAAGTCCCCCTTGTAAGCAGAATAAGTGTTAGATTTTCAAAAAAAAACGATATCAAACGAAAAGGAAATATCTAAGGTTTTAGTATAAAAAAAGTTATGTTGATTTGTTTATTTTTGAAAAAGTTATGGAAGTTTTAAGAAAAAAAAGTTAAAAAAATGACAAAACTTACTGATTTTTAAATTTGTAATTTTTTTGGATATCTCCCCCATTTGCGGGGAACGAGGAAAATTTTTTTAATTTTTAAGGGGGTATGTCTTCAACTAGATACGATTTGTGATCTTTTGACGTATTGTTGAAAGAAATCAGTCTAGTGAGAGCTGAGAAAAAGTGGCAACAGACATAAAAAAAAAAAAAAACACATCATAGTAAAATCAATACTTTATCAGCTTCGCATTGAAGCTAACAACCATTTTTACCTCTGGTTTTTCATAACTGCTTGATGCTAAGAGGAATATTGCAAATTGGTGGTAAAATCTTTTCCAATTTACCGTCACGTTCCTATCAAAGATTAAATGTTTTAGAATTTTACACTGCATTCTTTTTTAAACGAAAACACTTTCAAGTTTTTTTTTAAAGAAAACAAAACAAGTATTTAAATTAGATACATTTTAGCACGTAATTAATCGTTTAAGACCACGTTAATAATTCAGCACGCAGTAATTATTTAACACTGAATTATTTAACACACACCTGACACCATGTTGTAAATTCTTTTATTGTTAAATTAAAATAAATTAACTACAGATTTTCCTAAGAAAATGACATTTTAATATATAATATACAATTGTTACTCACAACGCTATCCGTTCACATTGAACGTCGGTAAACAACTGATAACATAGAATTAGGAGATAGAGGGTGTATTTCACAATTGTTATTTAAAACGGGAGATTAGGTTTGGACAGGATGAGAACTGTTTTTACTAATATGCACATAGTTTTAAGATTTACTTTTTTTGAAGGATGGCTTTATTATCAGACTAGGATAACAATCTAAAGACACAGGAGTAATAGTTTTAACAATAATGTAAATATTTTCTGAATCACAGAAAAATTTTTAAACATATTAACAAAATTGTTTTAGCTTCGATGCGAAGCTGATAAGGTATTAATTTTACTATGATGTGTTTTTTTTTTTTTTTTGCCTGTTGCCACTTTTTCTCAGCTCTCACTAGACTGATTTCTTTCAACAATACGTCAAAAGATCACAAATCGTATCTAGTTGAAGACATTACCCTTAAAAATTGAAAAAAATTCCCCCGTTCCCCGTAAATGGGGGAAATCTCCAAAAAAATTACAAATTTAAAAATCGCTAATTATCGAAATTTTTTCACTTTTTTTTCTTAAAACTTCCATAACTTTTTCAAAAATAAACAAATCAACATAACTTTTTTTATACTAAAACCTTAGATATTTACCTTTCATTTGATATCATTTTTTTGAAAATCTATCACTTANATTTCCTTTTCGTTTGATATCGTTTTTTTTTGAAAATCTAACACTTATTCTGCTTACAAGGGGGACTTAAAATAGTAACTTTTTTACAAAAACTAACTTTTTCCACTTAATTTTTGAAAATGTTCCGAAAATACTGTGTCCTTTAAACATATATCAAATTAAAGCTTATTTTATGTACTATAAAATGAAAAAAAAAAGTTGTCCCGACGACCTATCTTCTATGCGCAAATGGCTACCGTATTCAAAAATATGCTATTTTTCTATTAAAATTCTAGGTTTTGTATTTTAATTTACTTTAAAATATCTTATTAGGAGAATATATTGACTTTCATGAATATTATATAATTAAATTGACATAGAATAAAGATCATAAGACATAAGGAATTAAACTTATTAAGTTTTTTTTACTTTTTTATTTTCATACTAAATTTAATAATTATAATTAGTATTTATTCATATATTATATTTTAAAATCAAAGAACTACTAATCAGGATATAATTAAAGATATAAGAGTTGAGGCCGAGGTCGTAAGTTGAATTCTATTTTGTTGTATACTTTTTCACTTATTCTGAACAAAATAAATATTATAATAAAATATTAATATGTGCTTTATATAATATATAAATCACATGTGTTTAATACACTAAACTATAATACTGGAACGTAATTTAATGGTTTAATCTTTCTTAACCAATCCAACGCTCTTTCCTAAAAAAATCAAAATCTATATTCTCTCACATTAAAAATTAAAAAAAAAACTTATCAATATAAAAATTTAGAAAATCTCACAACAATTTTGATGGCCCAAGAAAAACAAAAGTAAATGTACGTCATGGTTTCCAATATTCTCAACGGACAGTTGACATAGGAATAAGTAGTATATCATAATCTACATAAATCTACAATGTCCCAAAAGTAATACAATTTAAAGTTATGATTGGGGAAAAATTAGTAAACTATGTGTTTCAAAAGAAATTTTAAGAGTTGTCAAGAAAAATACACAAGATTTGTTTTACTTCCACAAATCAGCACTTAATATATATCAAAACAGAAAAAAAAAATCTTGATCAATACTAAAATCTTAATTTCGTGGAATAATAAGAGATATCATGGATTACTAAAACTTAGTTTTAATAATCCACCAATTTCTCTAAATGAAACACTATCTACAGATTTGCATCGAAGCGTTTCTTATGATAGTGATTTTAATCACTGTCAGATATCATCTATACTTGTCCCATCTATGCCTTGTCTACACCGTGCCTCGACCCCACTGTGCTACCGTTTTTTTTTTGAAATAAAAGTTGCGTTATTATAAGAAATAATTTCAGTAGCCATAAATTTTTTACTTCTTTTTGGTGTGCCCATTTCGAACGCGAGCGATCATGTTGCTTCATGTTGTTCATTACAATGGCATATTAGGGATAAGTTGTCTTATTTGGGACAGTTATTGAAAGAATGGTCATTTAGTCCACAAAGTGCACACCGTGCCCTGCTTCTGCATAACTTTTTGTGTAAAGCCTTATCAAAGATAATTTTGACAAATTAAAGAGGAGCGGATCTAGGTGCAGCTTTATATAGAACTTTATAGATAGAATTTTTTTCAGGTAGTTAAGTTGAAAGAAATTTAAGTTATATTAGGTTTGTATGCGCAAAGGAGCTAGTATCTTGTCGCGGTAATATTCTATAAAAACCAATTATAGAAATAGGAGATTTAACTCCTTCTCAGAATTCCTCTTCCTTAGTTGCGGTTACAAGTGAATAATACCATGCGAATAAATTAAAGTCGAAGGAATTGAGACTTTTAAATTTATTTAACTTAGTTAATGATAATTAAGACATCAATTTTCTGTTTTTATAGAATCAAATATAATTTTTACTCTAGAGTCAATTGGAATTATTTGTTTTATATCGCAAATTTTTTTGTCAAATAGTTTTCCCATTTTTAATAGGTGTAATTTGCCAATATTTTGGTATAAGAAACTGACTCAATGAGAATTACTGGAGTTTAATTATAGGTACTTGAAAATGTTTTAATATTTAATTTAATCTACGCTAAACATTTTTTATTTCATCTCATAGAGCATCTTATGGTTATAACATACCACTCTAAACATATTTTTTTTGGAATGTATAAAATAAGTATATTTGATTTTTTTTTAAGCCTGATAATCTTGCAGCCCTAATGTTATATGTTTTATAATATTTTTGTAATTAATTATTGTTGTTAATGATTTAGTTTTATATTCTACTTGTAATTCATAGTTTGTATTAATTTTACTGTACTAGCTACATACCGTAGTTATGGCTACAGAAAACTAATAAATAAAGAATTAGTATTTTAGATATTTTTAGCCAATATAATATATTCAATTAATTATAATGTATATAACTAAATATTACAATATAGGATGAATCTGTTACCATAAAATACTAGATTTATCAGAAAATTAATATATTTTGTTTGGTTTCTTTTAGTTGTATAAACAAAATAACTGAACAGACAGATAGGCAATGATTAGTTTATGTATACCAATTACATTTATGTGTATTATAAACCAATAATTCTTATATTTTCATGGCTTATATAAAGTCGAATCCTTCAAATTTGTATTTGGAAACAAATGTTTCATCTAAAAGAACATTGCCATTGATATCAAAAACAGTTATGTATGTTGCTGTACAATTAGACTGTTCTTTGGATTTAATTGCAACAATAATAGAATCATTGGTCTCTGGAATAAATTTAAAGCTTGCATATCCATGAAATGGCTTAACGTCACCTACTTCTACAACCTAAATAATAAATAAAAAATTGTATGAAAATAAAAATCTATTATAGTTCTAAGTAATTGTATGTACTTAAATTTATTATAACTTTAGTGATTTAAACTTAATTATTTAAATTAAATGTTCATTTTGAATAATATAACTATCTTAATTTATACCCAAAAAAAATTAGATAAAGCTTTTTTATATTATTAAATATATTGGATATAATTACAATGAAATATTTTACATATGAGTAATATTAATTAAACTTAGGCAATAAAAATAATTAATCGCATAAATGTTACCTCGATTGATTCAAAGTTTTTAGTAGCAGACAACAAAACGTTAGTGGCTTTACCTTCATCGCTTTGAGGGTCAAATTTTTCCTTGCATAATTTTCTGGGCAAAAAAAAGTATTTTTGATGTTTATCGCTCCATTCACAAGCCTCGTGAATTATATAACCAGAGGAATCAATATGTAATTTTTCACGTAGTTTTTTATACATATTTGTCCAATCGACATGTTCTATAACTCCATCTTTATTTATTACTTTTACCCACATATTTACGTTACTCACTTCATCTTCAGAAGAAAAATATTCAGTACCATGTGATCCCACATAAAGCTTTTCACCAACTACTGTAGCCCATTCACCTTTAAAACCTATGGATATTTAAAATATGTAAATATAAATATATGATACTTCATATTTCTAACAAAAGTGTAAAAAAATAATCTTTTGTTTAAGGACTAGAACCGAAACGAAAATAACCGGTTCCAAAACCCTTAAATTCCAAAACATAATTAAAATAAAGTTTTGGTTCCATTAATTTTAGTTGCTGAATTTCAAAATTATATATTGTGGTGTGGGGCGTGATGTTTTGCGGTGGTAACATTAGTTGTTGATAAAACTCTATTGTTAGGTCGCGCCTACCGTCGTAGATGAACGGATGGATCATACGTGTGCTCTTACGGCGCCGAAAAAACACCATGTTCCCAATGCAGAAGGCAACGGGAAACCACTGCACTTATACAATTCTCAGGATATACCAATCCAATTGGTATTAACTAACCTAACGGTAGTAAAAAATAAATATATTGTGGAATAAATGAGTGATTTTTTAAATTATTTAATATAAGTTTCGAGACAACAAAGGCTTATTATTCAATTACTTGGTTAATTAGTTTGATAATAATTGACTATAACGCATTGCATCAAATTTAAATTGTGATGAATTTAGTACTATCGCACTCATAAGTGAATTTTATTATGAAATTGGGATTATTTTGGATATTCAATTTTATAATTAACACATATGAGGCATTATATAGTGTCTTTAGATATTGTTAAACTCTGACGTTTAGTGCTACCTTTCACTGTTAGTTGAGTTAATATAAATTTAATGTTGGCAAACATTATAACCCCTAGAACGTTGCGATTTTCTGTCAAAATATCCTTTTTTCTTTTCTGCGAGTTTATTTACCAACGAAAGTTGTTTACTAATTTTTACCCAAATAGGTCTAAATAATTAATATTTTAATATAATCAATATTTTTTAATAACCCCTAATATACAGGCTGTTCAGTAAATAAAGAAACAGGTAAATTGTTACAAACAATAAGAACTTTGAAAACCAGTTTCCTTACTTAATGAACATTATATACAGGGTGGCCCACCACTCACTGACAACTTAAATAACTTTTGATCCAGTTAATATTTTTAGTTGATTTTTTTTTTAAATAATAGTTATACGTTAGGTCTATAGCTATATCTCAATAATTAATTTTTTTACATTTTATTAAAAATATTAATTATTTTTAAATTTTAAATAAAATGTAAAAAAAAAATCTAAGATAGCTATTTTGTAGAGTAGAATTTAAGAAAAATTTTAGTAAAAAAATATCTTATTAATATTCAGTAGTAAATATTCTGTAGCGTTTTGAAGTTTGTGAAAATTTGAATTTTTGTATATTCAAACAAATTCAAAATCCTTCAAAGGCTGTATCTTTTTAGGGTGTATAAAACAACCATTTATTAAACAATAATGATGATTTAAGATAAAAGAAAAAAATTATTTTTTTTCCTGGGTAAAATATTTTAAATAATCTAAAAACAATATATACCATTTAGAGTAATATGAAATAAAAAAAACTAATTCTTAGACACAAAATATTTACTTATATAGATTAAGAGAATACTGATCAAGAAGCTCATATTTCTTTTAGGAAAAAATGGCACGGTGAAAGTAAACGAGTGTTTTCTAGAAAAATTCCTGTGATGCTATATAATTATTTGTAATTGATTACTTGTGATAGAAACTCTAGCATGTTCGTTACTCATTAGCTGTAAGAAACTGGTTTGAAATATTTGTTAACAAATGGTTGTTACCCTAAAAGGAAATATTGTTTAGATGATTTTGGCTTTATTCATATATATGATATTTAATATATGCTTTAATAATTATACATCAATTATAATTATCATACACCATGCAATAATTATTTGTAAATGTAAAATAGTTATATTTTCTTCATCTTCATTAAAAATTAAAAATAAGAGTTATTTAAGTTGGATCCAAAAAGACTAAATAGACTACGCCCTCCTGTTGGTCTTGCTAAATACATTGTAGGTAAATAATTACCTAAATAAATGCTACTAATATTTTATTTAATATTAACTGTCAAGTAAAATCATAAGTTGTAAATTAAAATTTGTAATTAAACTTTTAAAATACAAACAAAAATAATAAGTCACCCTGGTTCTTAGTGAGACAAAATATGGGTTTTAAAACATTTCATAACATAACATTAAACACACTATGGGTTGATTTAGCCAATTTACACCGTATAGGTGGTATTATTTGTTTTCAATATTTTGATTCAAGGGTTCTCATAAAATAGCAGATAAATTTTTTCAACCTATTTTAGTGAAAATTCAATTTACAGTTAAGATAGTAATGTAATTTTAACAAAAAAGGGTTAACCCACACCTACTACAGAAACGAAAAACCAATTAGTTGATGTTAATTTATTTAACAATTAATAATAAATTAATATTCCCCCAAAATTCTCATAAAAGTTATGAAATAATTAATTTGTTCAAACAAATTATTTAATATAAAAATAAAAAGGAGGCAATCAAATTTATGATCATTAAGCTTGTAGATCTTAATTTGTAGAAGTTTTAATACTTATAGTGAATATATCTGCAAAAAAATGTATATTATATTAAAAATAATAATAATAGTATTACAATGGTATAGTTACTCAATTTAAATTAATGTTTATAATTAAGTAATTATTCGTTAGTGTTTATCAAATAAAAATGTACTCTCATATTTTATGAAATAAAAATATTTTTTATTATTCGCTACTGATATTAAGCATTCTTGTAATTAAAAAGTTTTATAATAAAATGTATATTTACCTTTGCTACTAATACCATTTTCATCGCTTTCTTTCAAAACAACCCATTCTTTCAATGAATTTTGATTTTCGATGATATAAACTATACCTGTCTTGTCATCTACAGTCAATAATTTACCATCGTAAGTTACTAGCTCAGAGAGTTCCATTCCTCTATTATTAACAGAATTGTTAGATTTCAATACTGTATCCTCTTCTTTGTCCCAATCAATCGTCACTGTAAGGGTTGTTGAATTGTACCTTAAGTATCCTTTTTTTAAATAACTTATCCACGTATTTTTTTCTACAGAACTTTTTGATACACTATCCAAATCACAAATTATCGCTATTCGATAATTGATGGTGCCGTCATCCTGAGTTACTGGTGGCGTTAAAGGATAATTTTTATCAGTAGGTTGAACTGTATGAGTCTTTATAGTTTCATGAACGGAATCGGTTACTGGCGCGCTAAGAACATAGTTTTTAGCAATAGTAGCTAAAATAAGTATACTTATTGATTTAATAGCCTGAAATGTGAAAGTATGATGTATAATTCAAATTGTGTTTATAATTAAAAGTCTCTCAAAAATATATAACATTAAGCAATAAAACCAATATATCAAATAAGCACTCTGACTATTGATAGAACACGGTATGCTTAATCATCTATACATAATGGGAGTAACAGAATCATTACTATTCTGGAAGTGTGGAACAAATTAATTTAAAATGATATGTAATTGTGGTACCCTAGCTATATTAAGATTTAAATATTTGAAAAAATCTTTTACCAAAAAAAAGGTATTAAAAACTTAAAACTAAAAGAGATACTTAGTTTAACCAAAAAGCCAGAACTCTTAAAACATATACAGATTGAGTCACAAAGATATGACAAATTCAATAACTTTTGATCCAATTATTATTTTAAATTAATTTCTTTTTTAAATAATTTTTATACTTTAGGACTATACAATGAACATAAAATTCCATATATTTTGAATTTATTAAAAAAGTATAAAAATTTAAAATTTACGAAAAATTTTAAGATAGCCAATTTGTAGAGTAGATTTGAACAAAACATTTGTTTAAAAATATAAAGATATAAGGATGTCTGAGAAGTGCATAGATGATGTGGGAGATTGTATCAAGTGGAAGTTTAGGATAAAGGTAGCCGATCTCAAGTAATTGGGATTAAGGCAAGAAAAAAAAGAACAAGTGATTTAACTTCATTTTTTGACGATTGTTTTTTTTTCAACTCAAAACTAACTTGGTAAAAAAAATAGTATAAATTAAAATTATATAAGTTTACCATTAGTTCAGTACATTATTATTTTTTATACATAAAATATAATACACATAATAATATTATATACAAAAGATTATTAATACTGCAAACTATTTATTTATAATACTGTTTTTTAGAGCATTTTTAATGTTTATAAGCTCTATGGTATTCTATCATGTTTTTTTCTAATCTCAAGCTTTTCACTACTTAATTAATGTATTTAATTTTTTTGAGGATAATAAACTAAAAATATTTATATTTTAGCAACGATTAAAAAATAATTAACAATTAAAATTGGTGATCGTTTACTGGCACAAGTTTGAACAGTTTTAACTTAATAATTTCATAACTCTTTAGCCAATGTAATGATAAATAATGTTTTGGTCTTAAAAGTTTATTTGTGGTCTATTGATTAGTATCTACAAGGATTGAATGTTTTCATATTAATTTAAATATTATTATTAATTGTTTTTTACGAATTCCCTAAGTTGATTATGGAGTATTTTACTTAGAGCAATTTTCGTTGAACTTGATTAAATTTATTATGTAGTTTATTAAAAAATATGGCTACAATTAAATACGTTTTGTGATACTTAAACGTATTGTAGAGCAAAATCGGTCCAGAAAGTAATCGTGTTTACTGACAAAAAAAAAAAACACAACCAAGTCAAATCAAGTCCACTCGACTACGTATAGAAGCTAAAATAAAGACCATAGTAAAACAAGTAGTTAAAACAATAAAATATAAACTTACACAATTTGGTCGGTTAGCTATTATTTAACCATTTATCCAATAAAACGTTTACAAAACCATTTCAATAGTTAAACTTATATTTTCTCAATGTCACTTCAAAATAGATTTTATTATATTATATTATATTTATTAAGCTTAAAACAATTTATAGTATTTAATACTACCGATTAATCTATACAAATAAAAAATTAAAAGTTGTTACTGACCATTGCAAATTTCAAAAGCTATTTGTTTAGCTCTGAATCTTGTATATCCTCTGGAATATAGATAAAAACCAAAATTAAGAAGAATGAAAACAAATTATATAAAATTATAATAGAATATTTGTTTTTGTTATTGATGCAACTGTAAATTGATTAATTTATTTATCTTTAATTGAAATAAAATCGAATTATAGCATAAATTGCTAAAGTGTAAAGTAACTATTTTATAAACAATGATCCAGCGAACATTTGGGAATCATGAGGAATATTTCTAAAATTATTATTAATATTTTAAAAATTTTTTTTTACTTTTGTTACTTAAATATTAAATTCATTTAATTATTATAAAATTTTCTTCTTCTTCTTCCTCGCCTTAATCCCAACTACTTGGGCTGGGCCACCCTTATCCTAAGCTACCACTTGACACGATCTCCCACATCTTCTACGCTCACATCAGCTGTCCTCAAATCGCATTTAATAGCATCCCTCTATCTCTTTTTTGGTCTTCCTCTACCTCTTCTTTCTTCAACATTCTTTTCTATAACTGTACTTACAGCTTCCGATTCTTCTCTTCTCATAACATGATCAAACCATCTAAGTCTATTTTCTCTCATCTTATCCACGATTGATGCACACCTATACTCCCTCTTATATATTCGTTCCTTATTTTATCTTCTCTAGTCACTCTACTCATCCATCTAAGCATTCTCATCTCTGCTACACTCACTCTCTGCTCTACTTTCTTATCAAACGCACAATACTTCGAACCATACATCATAGCTGGTCTCACTAGTCTTGTAGAATTTACCTTTCAGCCTCATTGGAATTTTTTTATCGCATGAGACGCCGTAGCTTCTTTCCACTTCAACGCACTTAATCCTATGTCTTACTTTCTCGTCAATACCATACCTCTTTTGCACAACTGATCCTAAATAATTAAAACTTTTCATCTCTTTTGACATGTCCTCACCTATTGTCACTGATGTCCTCATTTCATCTACTTCTTGTTCTCCTTTGTCAAACTCGTACTCTATATACTCTGTCTTATATTTAATTATTATAAAATATTCTTAAATTTAATGTATATTATTTCTTATAGGGGTGCCAACTTTATTATTTTTTAATTACAACATACATAATTAACTTGTGAAAATATATGATAATGAATTATTTAAGAAAAATTACAGGTCAATAACAACATTTTTTAATATTTCAAAAATTAATCACAATTAAAAGGAACGACTGGAGATGAGAAATGGGTGAGAAGTGAGAGTGAGAAGTGACTAAACATCTTCAGGGTATTTTGAATTAAAATTTAAATTATTTAAAAATTTACATTAAAAATTATATTACTTATGATTTAAATTATTTTTAGATTTGGAAATTTCAATGACATCCACTGCATTAAGTGGGAACACCGATACTGATGATACTGATAATAGTTATGAATTGCCACCACCAAAAAAGCTGATAGGTAAACGACAAATAATTACTCCTTAACTAGTTTGTGTTATGGACAGTCGTAAAATAAGCCATAGAGCTGCTGTACACATACTTGTTGCCGTTGTTGAAGCGTTAGGGGAGAACATGGATGATTTTATTATTAATAGATCGTCAATTCAACGTTGTCGAGCTATCTTACAAAAAGAGAGGGCAGCTTCAATTAAAAATCAATTTAATGATTCCGATTTAAATGCTCTAGTATTACACTGGAATGGTAAGATTCTCCCAGATTTAGTAGACAGTAAAATAAATGATAGAATGTCAATAGTTGTTAGCAATAGTGATTCCGAAAAACTTCTCGCTAAATCAATATTAGAACAAGGGACAGCTAAAAATCAAGCATTAATGCTATATGAAACTTTAGTCCAATGAAACATAAATAAATCAGTAAAGGCTTTATCTTTCGATACAACTGCTGTAAATAGTGGTCATTCAGGAGGTACTTGTGTTTTGTTGATACGACTTTTAGAAAAAGAATTACTTTATTTACCTTACCGCCACCATATATTTGAAATTATATTCAGAAGCATTTTCGATAGTAAAATTAGTTGTTCTACTGGTAAAGACGTATCAATTTTCAAGAGATTTTAGCAGGCTTGGAATGATTCAAATAAAGAAAATTTTAAACCCTATAGTTTTGAAGTAATATTAAATATTTGAAGTAATATTTGAAAGTAATATTAAAGAAATTATAGAACCAGATTTACAGAAGATAATAATTTTTGTAGAAAATAATTTTAATACAGTACAACCAATGATTATAAAGAATTCCTCGAGTTAACATTAATTTTTTTCGGTATAAAGAGTCATAATTGTTTATTTTTTCATAAGCCAGGTGCTATTCACCATACTCGATGAATGGCCAAGGCCATTTATAGCCTCAAAATATATATATTTAGAGATAAATTTCTAAAGAGAGAAATACAATAATACGCGATATTTCTTTGTTTTTGGTACTAGTTTATGTTGAATCGTGGTTTACAGCAACTTCGGCGGTTGCATCACCATATAATGATTTAAATTTTGTTAAAAAATTATACAACTATTGTTGCGTACGAGGCAGCTAGACCGTAAGACGGCTAGTTGTGCACCGCACTAGAATGCCGTTTTACCTTAAGCCTGTTTAATAAAACGTTAATATTGATGCGGGAGTGGGTCACCTAGGAGATGACGGCTAACTATACATCCAATAAATAAACGAGAATAGACAATAATTAAATAACAAATAATCACATATATTAGAAATTCCTCAAAGAGTATCTTAAATTTAAGGGGTAACGGGGGGGCCTTAAAATACTAGTGGCCGGCGAAGCGGCATAAAACATATAGTTAATCTCAATTAAAACAAACAATAAATAACATTAATAATAATATAAAACTCAGCTGTATAGATGACGTTGTTGATGTTGATGAGTGGACTGTATGAGATCTTGTGGTAATGGTGTCGAACATCTGAGTATGACGAGTTAGTGTGTAAATCCAGTTACGTAATGGCAGATGAGAACAGAATACGGCAATGATATTGTTTAGTGATGGTCAGGGCCCAATCACTAGTGGCGTGCAAGGGCACGTAAACTTTGAGCATAAGGGTGCAATAAACAAATAATAAGAAACTATGGCGTACAACGGCCGAACAATTTACTATTCAAGCGAAGGCGCTTGCAACAGAAAAAGAGTGACACCTAAAACAAAAACGACTGACTTACGACAATGTACTGTCCATGGATGAAAAACGACACGGAGGTCATCGATTTGCTGTGATGGGTGGGCAAGGGGGTGAGTAAAGCAAGATGCTGGTGATCAGCTGTCCCACCAAATAATATAATCAATGATCTTTATAACAACTGGTCAACTAGATCCTTCTAAAGGCGTTCTGTACCATACATACTCCCCGCTTTGAATGACGAAGGCTTTCAAAATAACTTGAATGAATATGAACTTATCTTGAGATGTAGTCTTAATAGCATGAAATAACAACGTGAACAAAATATGATAAAATAAATAATAATTTAACGTAGTCTTATAAACACTTATCAAAAAATACGCGACTTTGTAAGCGAACGGTCAACGAATCAAATTGCACGGTACTTTACATTGTGTATACGAGAGACCAAATTACACGGTAGTGTTGAGTTGTAAGCTGAACACTTGCTGTTGTAAATAGTCGATGTTCTGTAATTCTGACGAAGTGCTGGTGCGTTGGTCGTTCTTAGTAAAGAGCATCGAGTTTGATCATCAGAAGGCCAATGATTGTAGATGTTCCTTTTAGCGTTGTACAAACCTTTATGAAACTTTGGTTTACAAGAATGAATATTTTGCGAAGAGTTACTAAACAATGGACGTGACATAGCTGTTAAGACTTTTTGCGGTGACGAACTGTAACGCGACTGACTTATCTTGCCTACTATTACCCAGCCGAGATAAGTATTAATTGCTGATGGCAATCCTTCAGAATGAATGGTCTTTGTATTAGGCCGATTCAAATACGGAAACATGTCACTACCGATAAGCATGTCAATACATGCCGGTTGGTCAAATTGCGGATCGGCTAATAACAAATGATCGTACCGTGCACGAACGGTAGACGTTAGACAGACAGTTGGCATTTGTGACGTTATTTTTGGTAAAATAAATAACTCTTTGCAACTGAAAATCGAATCCGTTGTATGATGAGGCACAAAAGTACAAGAAGTACAAGCTTTTACTTGACCAACCGTATTGTGAGTTAGGCCAATTAATTCTGTTTGACATGGACGACGCGTTAGTCCAATACGTGTAGCGCACTCGTCTGTAATCGCCGAAATTTGAGAGCCGCTGTCTAATAGTACGCGAACCGAATGATAATTACCATATTCATCTGAAACACGAACAACAGCCGTACCAAGCACTACAGTGCAATTCGTACGTGCAGTACCGGCAAACTGGATGTTTGATTCTTCAGATGGAGATAGTTTAGAGTCTGACGTAATATTAGTCGATGATACATTCGATTTGAAATCCATGTGTAGCATTGTATGATGAAGCTTATTACATTGTCTACAAGTGGACGTAGAAGTACAAGCGTTGACCTTATGAGAAGGACTCATGCACGAGAAACATAATTTGTTTGATTTGACAAAATTACGACGTCTTTGAACTGATAACAATTTGAATGCCGGACAACGATAGAGTGTATGCGTGTCTGTGGTGCAACAAATACACTTATTATTGCTAGACGACGCAGCGCATGATGTCAAGGGAGACATTTGAGAATCAACGGTAGATACATAAAAAACATTATTCGAATAAGACGAATTTTGATTATGGCGTGTGTCTATGTTCTCAAAACAGCTACTGTTTTCCAATATCTTACAGCGCTTATTAACAAATTTAAGTAAAACATCAAATGTTGGAATTTCTGTTTGATGTATATCGCTTTCAAATATATCTTTATAACAACTGGTCAACTAAAGTCGCGGCACAGAGAAGACGTAACATAGTTGGATCAAGTATAATGATATCTGACAGTGATTAAAATCACTATCATATAAAAAGATTCGATGCCAATCTATAGATAGTGTTTAATTTTAAAAAATCGATGGATTATTCCAAAAGCTATATGATTTCCTACATCCTTATTTATATCCTGATTACAAGTTTTATGATTTATAAGTGTGATATATGAATAAATATATATACATATCTATTTACAATAGATAAATATTAGAAAGGGAAATGATTTTATTTAAAAAAAAAAGTATGTCGAATGAAATAAATATATAAATATTATTCCTCATAAGACAATTGTATTGATCCATACATTATTCAAAAAGTTATAGTATTTTAAAGTTAAAAATGTAAAATATAAAATCGAGAATTTTAACATGAAAATGGCATATGGTAGCCATTTTCACCGTGAAGACAAAATAAAGTCTGAAATTTTTCTTTTTCATTTTAAGTATATTATATGATCTTTAATTTAATATATATATATATTAAAGTGTCAGACTTAACGGAACACTTACAAAAATGAAGTTGAAAAAGTTAATTTTTTGTAAAAAAGTTGTCATTTTAAATCCACCCTTGTTGGCAGGTAATGGGTCAGATTAATAAAAAAAATATATTAAATGATAGGTAAAGACATCGTGCATCTTAAATAAAAATTTATTTGGTCATTTTAGAAAAAGTTATGGCAGTTATATGTAAAAATAATTGAAAAAATGTCGAAAATTAGCGATTTTTAAATTTGTAATTTTTTTTGACATTTCCCTCATTTATGGGGAACGAGAGAAACTTTTTCTATTTTTGAAAGTAATGTCTTCGACTAGATACGATTTATTAAATTTTGACGTATCGCTGAAAGCAATCGGTTCGGTGAGAGCTGAGAAAGTGGTAACAGACACAAAAAAAAACAAAAAAACAAAACATATAGTAAAATTAATAACTTCTCAGCTTCGCATTGAAGCTAAAAAAACGGAGGACAAAAAAAATATAGGAGCAAAACAAAAAACAGAAACGTGGTTTTCCACCATTGAATACATGAACAACAAAAAACCCAGCACACAGAAGATCGCGGCACAGTAGTGACGTGGCATAGTTGGATTAAGTATAATGATATCTGACAGTGATTAAAATCACAATCATAAATTCATTTTAAAAAATTATTTGATTTTTCAAAAGCTACATGATCTGCTATTTCCTTATTTATATTCTAATTAAGATAAAGTATGTTAAATAAAAGAGGGATATAAATATTATTTTTCATGAAAATATTGTATTAATCCATACACTTTTCAATAAGTTATAGCATAATAAAGTTAAAAATATAAAATACAAAATCGAGAATTTTCACACAAAAATAGCATTTGGTAGTCATTTTCACCGTGAAGACAAAATAATGTCCAATATTTCTTTTTTTCGTGATAAAGTATATTACATTAGCTTCAATTTAAGATATATATAAAAGTTTCAGACTTTCGGGAACACTTTCAAAGATTAAGTTGAAAAAATTAATTTTTTGTGAAAAAGTTAGCATTTTGAAACCCTTCCTGTGGGCAGGTAAAGAGTCAAATCTTTTTAAAAATATATCAAATGATAGGTAAATACCTAAGGTATTTATATATAAAAAAAAAAATAGTGATTCAGTTATTTTTAAAAAAGTTATGACAATTTTAAGTAAAAAAAAAAAAAATGAAAAAATGTCGAAAGTTAGGGATTTTTAAATTTGTAATTTTTTGGGAGTTTTTCCCCATTTTCGGGGAACGCAGGAAATTTTTTCAATTTTTGAGGGTAATGTTTTCGACTAGATACGATTTGTGTTTTTTTGACGTATCGTTGAAAGAAATTGGTTCTGTGAGAGCTGAGAGAAAGTGGTAACAGATACAAAAGAGTAAAAAAATTAAAAATTAAAAAAAAACCACATCTTAGTATAACCAATATTTTCATAGCTTCGATGCGAAGCTAAAAAATGTATGCCATTGTACCTCAGTAGTCTAGTGGAGAAAGAGCATTGACGCACAATCATATAATAATGACCGGTGGGGACGATGACAGCTGGTGGTGGTGTTAACTTAGAACTGGTTCATATAGCAAGTTACATAGCTATTATAAGTTACATAGCAGCTATTTACTATGCGTGAATAGCTGACCTAATATACCGTGTACTGACCACTGGACCGTTTGACTTGTATACTAATTAATTATATGATTGGTGACATAAATACCTACTGCACACATGACCGACTGATGACAAAATAATTAATTTAAATTGTATAAATTTGTTAAAATTACATACTGTAAAATTTTAAACTCGAAATTAATGTAACATTGTATAATTAATAGTGTAATTAATGACCTTTACTATCAAATTTGTAATATTAGTAAAAAAAATTTTAAATTAGGTTAGATACTATTTTTGATCTGTACAATATAATTTATGAGAATTAATAATAATTAATTTTATTGAACTTTTATTGCTATTAAATAATATTAGAAATATTAATAACATAAAACTTATAAGTACCTTGGTATATTATTGTAGCACAATAACTATAGGATAAATAAAAATTATGGGGTAGTTATATTGCTTTTGCAAGTGTTAACTATTATTATTTTTACATGTTCTATAATAAAAAAAAAATTATTATAACCTATTTGCATTTGAATAAGCTTCTATAATAAAATGAAAAAAAAAAAAGTTTATTTACTTAGATGTTCACAAAAAAATTATATTTATAACAGAGTAAATAATGATGAAAATTCTAAAAAAAGTATTCTAAAAAAGTATTACAAAAATTATCAAATTTTAAAAGTATAAAAATTTTCAAACAAATTTATTGGATAATATTAATAAGGCCTATTAAAAGGCATAGGACTTGTCACATGCTGGACCTATATATATGGTTTAGTCCAAAATAATAGGTTTTATATTTTTTCGTCCAATAGTTATTTTTGCTCATTGAGAACTTATGTCTAATGAATTATTTTAGTCCATCAATAAGGAAATTAATAGTTATTCTGTAAACAATTTTAATATAATTAATTTAGAAATAAATTCAATACATAAATGAAATTATGTCATTCTTAATATATCTTACTCGATTTCATTTATGTGTAATTTAAATTCTGTGATATAGTTTTCAGATATCCAATTCTTGCTGTATAGTTTTTATAGTGCCTTAAAAAAATTCCAAATATTTGCATGATTATATATTAATAATTTACCTAATTTTGAATAAAACCCTTCTACAACATTATTTGTCCTTAGTCTGTTAATTAACTAAATCATACATAATCCACATTCCTGGAGAAAATTTAGCTAGAATTGCTGATTTATAATCTCTAGTCCCCTTTTTTTGAATGTAATTTCTATATAATTTATAAACTCATCAACACTCTCGTTGAATTCGATCATTAAATTATTGAACATTTCATTAAATTTCATAGTTCTAGGTAAAGTTCTCATCAATTCTAATAAATTATTTCTTAATATATTATCTGTTATACTGAATGATGGTGGTATTAATGCCAAACATAAATCAACATAGCTCGTTTCTTTTTAGACATAATTAATCTTGAACCCATTAAAATCTTAGAAACGTAAATAATAAAAATAGGTTAATCGATTGAATAATTTCCTGGTCATGGAAAAATAATAATAAATAAATCCGTCGATATCTGAAAGAGATTAATATCACTTTCATAAAACGCTTTGATGCGATTCTGTGAAATTTAAATATTTGTATATTTGTAATTTTACGATTTCAATTATTTAAATTTCACTCAATTATTAAATGTTTTTAAATTATTTTCTGAATAAATAATAAAGTAATTTCTTAGAAAAAAGTGCGAATTTTTTTGTTTTAACAATTAATTTCTGATACTAGAACAATATTCTGGTCAATTTTATCTTAAATAGTGTAATACACTTAAAAAACTTTAATATAATGTTGGTTAAAAGTTGTCACTTTTTCCGGAACATTTTCAAAAATCAAGATGAAAAATTTTTTTTATACATTGGTCTCTTTTAAACTCTTTCTGAAGTTCGGTTAATTGTATTTCCAGAAAAAGTATACCAAAGGAAAGCTTATTGTCTCCAGTAAACCTAATTAAATTTTTTTTTTAATCAGCGTTCTTGAAAAAAGTTATATTAATTTGAAAAACAGAAAAAATTCTAGAAAATGATATTTTTACGGTAATTTACTATTGAAATATTTTTCTAACCAATTTAATTATTGAAAATAAATTGTAATGAGTATAAATACATTTTTAAGTTGTTATGAATAAAATTATTCATTGTTTTAAAGAGGTTAAATTTAAAATATAAATTTCGTTTGAGTCTGTACTTTTAATTAAAACTATTGTAATACAGAACTATTAAATATTAAAATACATTGTGACTTATTTTCATTAAAATAATTTTTTTGTTTTATTAGAATTTATACAAAAACATATTGTTTTATGTAATGTACATATATGTTGTCCTTCAAATCTACTTAAAATCTAGTTGACAAAAAAAAAATGACAATTTTTTAAAATTCACATATTGAATTTTTTACAATTTATTTTCATTATTGTAGTTCAAAAGCATAAAATTTATTTACAAAAAGAATACTACAAAATAGTCACCGAATTAAAAGTTATAGGATTTGACAGAACTTATGGAACCACAACGTATACAAAATAATACTTTTGTCATGAACCTTTAATTAACTAATTAATACAAATAATATTTGTAGTATTTTTTTTTATTATTATTTTAGATACGTGTTTTTTAATTTATTATGAAGTGTTTTTTATTTTTATCTCTTATATTTATAAGGGTGTCAACTTAATTTTTTTAAATGGCAATATATATAGGATGGTCGTTAAAAATCTATATTTTATTTTACTTCAGGGGCCTATTTTTATTGTTATAAAATTAGGATGTGCAAAATTTGAGACCGAAATGTCAAAGTAAATACATACCTCATGGTCTATAAAATTAAGTAAAATAAATATTTTTCATAAAAAAAAAAGTTGGTCCTTTCTCCATAACATTTTTGATACATATAGACAAGGTTTTTTTTAACTTTTTTAATAAAAAATGTTGAAATTAAAAAACTTTAATTTTCATAATAGTTAAATAATAAAAATTATTTGTTAATTTTATTAATAATAAAAAATATATAAAAATCTCAACATTTCGGAAATAGAGACATAAAAGCCAAGAAGATGATAATGTTTTAATTTTATTTTTTGCACAGAAAAAAATTAATAAATTATATGATTTGAATACTCTATGTAATTTAAATGTCTTTATCGACCATATTAAAAAGTACTGTAACAAATGTATTCAAAATTTTGTTAGGGATTTTATATTAATTAACGTTATCTAAAATCTAATTACAATTTTGATTGTTAGAAATTGCTACGTACTATATAATTATAATAATCAAAAAATAATGTTAGCATTATGACAATTTAAAAAAATTAAACAATTCTATAGTTATAAACATATAAAATGTCAAATTGTGTGTTATGTAAACTCTACTAAATTTCAACCTTAATAATTTAATTTATCAAAATAAAAAAGTTTACAAACCCATTTATTTTGTTTTAAAAATAAATGTCATGTCGTTGCTCTCAAACCTAAAAGTGACAAAATGAGTTGATGTGCATGCTAATTTTCATTTTGATAAAATAATTATATTTAAGGTTATTTTATATTGTTGTAATTTATATATTTTCATAGTTATATATTTAATTAATGACTAGATTAATTTGGAAGTTTTTATAAAATAAAATAAGCAATTATAGAGCTCAGTAAAATTATAAGATGGTAATATAATTAGTACATTTTTAATAATCTTCAATTTTTAATAACCATAGAACATAAAACTTAAGAGAAATGGTACTTTTCGACTTTTTAAGAATTTGATTTATTAAAGTTTTAGAGAAAAAAGACCAATTTCAGAAGTTTTAAAAATTTGTTATAATTATTTTGACATTCACTACCCTTAGTCATACATAAGTATCCAATCTATTCCAATTGAACATTTAAAATTTTACGAAATTTTAAGAATATTTGTATTTATAACAATAATTAACAATAAATTAACACAATTAAATTATCAGTAAATTATTTTAGATTTAAAGGCAAAAGGCTGTAAATACCTATAATAATTTATTATAAACTGTATATGATTTATTCAGTATTTATAGTTTTATGTTCCAATAATTGATGATTTTTCAAGAGAATGGAATTTTCTTAGCCTTGTTGAGGTATACACTTAATGGGGATTGATTAATCAATAAATTATTGTATATATAAAATACGAATATTATATTAAATTTAAAAAAAATTCACTTTTTCAACTTAACTTTTGAAAATGTTCCGGAAAGACTGACACTTTAAAATATACCTTAAATTAAAGCTTATGTAATATACTTTAATTTGAAAAAAAAATTTGACCTCTAGACTTGTCTTCATAGTAAAAATGACTACCGTATGCAAAAATATGCTATTTTTGTGAAAAAATTCTAGATATTATATTTTACATTTTTTAACACTATGTTGCTATAACTTTTTAAAAAATGCATGAATCAATTCTATTCTTTAATGATAAATACTTTATAATATAATCATAAAAGGAGTATATATTATATACTCCTTTCAACTGACACACTTTTTTTTTAAATCGGATCATATCCCTTTATACAAGGAGGGTCAAAACATTAAACATATGTATTGAAACTAGGACATTTTCAATTTAATTTTTGAAAGTGTTCCGGAAATACTGACACTTTTATATATACCTTAAATTAAAGCTTATGTAATATACTTAAATTTGGAAATAAAAATTCAAAATATAGATTTGTCTACATGGTAAAAATGACTACCGTATTCAAAAATATGCTATTTATGTGTTAAAATTCTGGGTTTTGTATTTTATTTTATTTTAAAATACCTGAAAAGGGGAGTACACTGATTTTCATAAATATTATATAAATCAAAATGATATAGCATAGAAAGTTAAACTTATTTACATTTTTTTGCTTTTTTTAAGTCTAGAAAAATAGCTTTGAAATTTGAACTAGCTTAAATTGCCATCTTTTCAGAAGACCGGGCAACGTACGGTTGCCGAGTCGGTAAAATTAGAGTCTTACGTGCTTGGGTTACAAGGTTCCAACCCACGTATGGCAAGGGATTTTTTGCATTTTTTCTTAATTCTTTTTAAGTTAAAATAAATTTTCAACTCTTTTGATTTTCATCTCATTTAGATTCAATAATCTCAAGGAAGATCAAGGATCCCATCATTGTAGTCGCCTCTATTTTAACACGCTTATATTAGTTTCAACGATACGTCAAAAGATAAAAAATCATATCTAGTTGAAGACATTATCCTTACAAATTAAAAAAAATTCCTCGTTCCTCAAAAATAAGGGAAATATCTACAAAAATTACAATTTTTTAAATTATTAAATTTCATCATTTTTCTAATTTTTTTTTTCTTATAACTACCATAACTTAATTAAATATTAACAAATCAATCCATTTTTTTTTTTATATTGAAACCTTAGATATTTTCCTTTCATTTGATTTTATTTATTTGAAAATTTAACACTTAAAATGCTTACAGGGGGGATTTAAAATGGCAACTATTTTACAAAAACAAACTTTTGAAAATGTTCTGGAAATACTGCGTCCTCTAAACATATATCAAATTAAATCTTATATTATGTACCATAAAATGAAAAAAAAATTGTCCCGACGACTTATCTTCTATGTGCAAATTATGCCGTAGTTAAAACCATGATATTCTTGTGTTAAAATTTTTAATTTTCGATTTTATATTTTCAAGTTTAAATTGCTATAACTAATTTATTGACTTTCATGAATATTATATAATTTAATTGACATAGAATAAAGTTCATAAGACATAAGAAGTTAAACTTATTTAAATTTATTTGCTTTTTTAAAGTCGAAAAAGTAACTTTAAAATTTGAATGAGCTTAAATTGCTAATTTTATCAACCGACAAAAACGACGAACAGTTGACGAATCGGTAACACTGTGTATTTCATGCTTGGGTAGGAGGTTCATAACCGACTGAGACAATTAATATATTGCATTTTTTTTTTGAGTTAGAAAAAAATTTTCAAATCATTTGATTTTCGTCACATTTAGATTCAATAACTTCAATAAATATCAAGGATCCCATCACTGTAGTTTCTCTTTGTGAGAAAAATGTCTTATTTATGTTAATATTATTTTACTATGTGTTTTTTTTTTATGGCTGCGATTTATTTTTCCAAACCTCAATTAGCCTACTTTTTTCAACGATACGTCAAATGATTACAATTCGTATTTAGTTGAAGATATTACGCTTAAAAATTGAAATAATTCCTTATTCAAATAAAAAGTAGCTTTATCCATACAAACAATTAAAATCATTCATTTCTATTATTTTTAAAGTATTTATTGTCGAATTGAATTTGATATGATAAAAGTATTTGACTACAAAAGTAAATAATTTTATTTTGTAATTAATTAATTTTTTAATTCTATTTTTGTGTGCTACTACCAACCAGTCTACAACATAACAATTTTTTTTGTAACACGTTGCTATATAAATCATTTATAAAAAAAAATGATTATTAGTTTCACTTGAATTTAACAATGGATTTTTACAATTATAATCAAATATTATAATACGTTCAATTGAGTAGATCTTTTTAACAACTTTTTTTTTTATCGTTTTTTTTTTAGTTAAAGTAAATTATTAAAATTAATTCAGTTCTACATATTTCAATTGTAGAATCTTTTTAAATACCATAAGTTAATTAGAAATAATTACTATGATTTCTATTAGTGATCTATTAAGATAAAAATGCAAAAAAACCGAGATTTTCTGATAAATTTACTGTAAATAGTATTTATAAAATTTCCTTACTGAATATTAAACTTAACATTACCATTTTTTCTATTCTAATGATGTCAATTTCAAACTTACAAGTTGAGCTAAAAGTTATGGCAATAAATTAATTTTTTTATTTATTATAAACTTTCATTTAAAGGAAAAAAAGTAATAGGTTAAAAATTATTACTTTTAACATATTAAAAATCAAAATTAATAATAATTTGAAAACAATTAATAATAAAAATTATATATATTTTTGAATCTAAGAATTACTAATCTGGATATAATTAAGGAAATAGAAGTTGATATTGGTTTTGTAATTATTCATTAATTTTTTAGAAATAAACACTATTTACAGATTTGCATCAAAATGTTTCTTATGATAGTGATTTTAATTCACTACTACATTAGACCCAACTATGCCACGTCCCCACTGTGCCGGGTTTTTTAAGTTTATAGATTAGATATTGTTTTCATTTAATAAAAACTTAAATTTACATTATTTTAAGGAAGTCGATAGTGGATAAGACCAAATTTTTTTTTTAAATTATAAGACGTAGAAAACAATTAACTTCTAAAACGAAAAAATCATATTATATTTTATATTTTTAAAGATATTGTGTTTGACATAGTTGAATAATCACCTGTAAAAACACTTATGTACATATTATATGATTTGTATGAATAAATAACATACAAAGACTGTGCTATGATTTTTTAAATAAATGTATGCATTCTTAATTATTTTTAGTATTTTTATTTAGTGTATTTAATAAACCAATTTGAACAAAATATGTAGTGGATACAACCCAAATTCTCTCTTTCTTAATGATATTTGTATATAATAACACATGTAATTTTCATAATTAGTATGGGTTTTCTAGAGTTTAGGGTATCTATGCCTTCTAAACTTCTCTAAAGTGTACCTTTAATAAATAAAAAAAGCAATAAATAGTGAATATTACAAGAGAAATAATACATTTTTTTTTATTTTTATTTTCATAAAAATGTTTATGAAAATTTAAAAATATATATGCGCCTATATAGAATGTTTTATTTGTCGTTAGTCAGTAGATTTGTTCAAGAATATTAATAATTTTGACAATTTACTTTTAAGATACACTGGACAGCCGTAATGGAGATGATTTTGCACATTGCAGTTCAGCACGACTCGTACTAAATATACTTACTAATATAAGTCAATAATATTGACTTATAGTTTGGTAAAGTAAAATGTCTACTTTACTTCTTTTAACAAGTATTGTTGTTAAACAATTTTTAAGTTATTTTACTTATATTAAATAAAGATTATATCAATGTTGTTGTTTTAATTTTTATAATATTAATAGATTGATTGACACTGGGAACTATCTGATAAAACTTAGAGAATTTAGTAACGTATACTACGTATATTTTTTTTAATCGATATTAAATAATTATTTGACCGTCAAAACAAGTTAATATACAGGGTGATTTTTTTATCATAACCCACTCAATTACTTATAGAATAATAATAATTTAAAATTTTTTTTTTATTATTATCTTTAGTTACACATTATTCTTGAATTATTAACTATGTAATACTTTTTAAGTTCATCCCTTATGCCTGGTAAGGGTGTCAACTTTGTTTTTTTAAATGATAACACATATTTTTAATTTAATAAAATGTTTGAGTTTTTAATTCAATAGTAAATGGAATTTGAATTTTTAATATAACTTAATTCGTTTATTAGATATAAACATTTAAAGTTTTAAATTTTTAAGTTAATATATAGGTATAATACACAAAAAAAAATCAATTGGAAACTTTGTGTTACTCTTAAATGGATATTGGTATAAATAAATTTTATTTTAATAAGTTAAAGCGTTAGAAATTTCGAATTTTATGACAAAAATTTATAAATTTTTATACTTGCAGAAAAATTACTCTTTTGGACAATTATTGCAAAAGATAAGTACTTTAAAAACTTTTACATTTTCAAAAATGAAAAATTTACCATTAAAAATGAAATTTTTGTAAAACTTTACTAACAACATTTATCAAATAAATATACCTTATATTTCAATATAAATGAAACTACTTACTAGTAACATAAAAATATTAACATACAAAAATACATAGTTTTAGATTAATCAAGCGCTGAACAATTAAAAGTTTTTATCTAAAGTTGTAAAGATTTGATACATTATTTAACAAAACAAAAAATATTTTATCTATTCTTAGAAGATCACTTCACAAGGCATTGCACGATTTTCTAATACTGAAATAACATTATTAGCAGCCAATAAAGATTTTCTTAATGAATTACCATGTACGTTTTGACCAGCAATATGTGGCAATAGAACTAAAAATTTTAATAGTACAAATTAGTATATCTCAATAATAAGTCTAAAATTCACTTTCTATAATATTCAATCTTGTTAAGAAAAAAGCCTCTTTTTTAAGTTAATCGACAACTTTTAAGATTTAGTAATGAGGTTTAAAAGTAGTCATTATAAAGTTAATAAAGTATTATTTATATATAAATTGTATAGTATAGCTTTACTTTGCATTTATAAGAAAATGAATAGAAACTTAATAGTAGTTAGATTGCAACCTTAAAGTCTTGATAACAAGAATCCACATAAAATAGTAGCAGTGGTATTTTTTCTTTTTTCATCAATAAATGTTATACAAAAGGCATACCGAATTTAATTTGATATGGTTAAATGATTAAAAATCCTTTTTGAATAGGTATTGATTTCAATAAGTAGGGTCAAGTGGGGTAAATGGAAATTGGGGCAAAAGGAAAAAAATATTATTTAAAATAAATTATTAGTGATTATAGAATTCGGTAATATTATAACCACAGTACACATAAGGTATAATAGTGTGCAATGATAAAAATATGGAAAATTTGAGGATATGTATAAATTGTTATCACTCGAAAAAGTGTTTATGATTATTTTAGATTATATTTTCTGCTCAATGGCTTTTGAGAAGGGCATCTTCATCAAAAATATAAGTAGAACAGTACAGTTTGAACAAAATTGTCATTTCATATTTACTTATTTACTATACGGCCCTAAAACCAGTTTAATATCACTTTTTCTATGGAATTATATTTGTTTTGTAAAATACAAAATAAAAATCAATTGGGGTAAATGGAAATATTAATAACAAATATAATTTGAAATATTACGATCTTTATCATTTTTTTTTTCAACTTTAGAGTGCGTAATTATATAAAAAAAAACATATTAACAGTTGTAGAAAATAAAATTTCATTAGAATCTTAAATGTCAAACACTTTTATGGACTAAATTTTTCCAACATCAAATAATAATATTTTAGTAAACCCAAAAGATATAATATCTATTTTTTCAATTCAATTAATACAATATAAAACTAACAATACAATTTGTGTTACAAAAGACCAAGTACCTCGTCTTAGAGTAACAAAGTATGGTGAAGTTTTAACAAATAAAAATGTGTTAAAATAATTGGAGGTAGCAACCTCAAAGAAAAAGCTAATCAAATATCCTAGTAAACTTGGGAGACATAAGAAAGCTATTAAAGATGTACAAAATATTGTGTTGGAACAATCAATTGATAATATTGATGATGTAGTTTATCATTCATCAGAAGATGATTATAATGACAATTCATTAGATTTAAGTATTGAAGAAGTTTTATACAATACACCAATTTGGTCTCAAATAAAACCTGGAGTATTTCTTTTAATAGATTTTATTGGAGGGAACCGTAAGAAACAACATTTTAAGTATGTATGTTTAGTTAAACGTATAGATGAAGATGATGGGGATATTTTAGTCCGAGGATTAAAAAAAAATAATGAAATTGGAACTGATTTTTATATTGTTGAAAATGACTTGTCAGATATTACAGTAGAGATGATTCTTGCAATATTACCAATACCAACTGAACATAAGAAGAACAGAAAAACGATATACAAATTTCCTGGATACATAAATATCGATGAAAAATAATCAGTTTAGGCACTATGTTATATACTTATTCATACATTAATTTATGTGATATATTTTGAAACTAAAAATGCTGTTAGTTTGTTATTTTGTTTATAATTTTTACTTTACATTGTTATTTTTTATGTTAAATTATTATTATCACTATTATATGAAAACAAAAGACTGTTAATATATTTTGAAAGTTTATGAAATAGTAAGTAAGCATTAAACTGTACTAAATTATGTTAAAATAATAAAGATTACCTAATTATTGGAATAATTTAATTGTAATTTATGTAATTCAAACAAATTTTCATTTGCCCCAGGCTTATAACATTATCAACTATACTTTAATTTTCATTTACCCCATACACAATATACTATTTGGGACAAATGGAAATTTGTAGGTATCGAATACATGAAATAATATAATGATAGCTGTAACAGAACAATTTCATTTGCCCATTATGTTTGTTCAATATAACACTTGCTGTTNACGAATATATGAAATAATATAATGATAGCTGTAACAGAACAATTTCATTTGCCCATTATGTTTGTTCAATATAACACTTGCTGTTGGAAATAGTTATTTTCATTTACCCCAGAAGTATGGGGCAAATGTAAATTTTTTATGAAATTTTATATTATTTTTTTCTCTTAAAATAATCAACTATTTTAACGTTTGATTGAAATGTTAGACACACATTGTATATAGTTAAATAGTTTTTATCTCAACCAAAATTTAAAAATATTATTATTACATGAATCTAATAAAAGTTGTAAAACATGTAAATTTCATTTACATTTACCCCACTTGACCCTACCAATCGATATTTTCTTTTGATATGTTTAGTAATATGTATAGATCTTTATATTTGTTCCAATACCAAATAAAAGTAAGGCTCAATTTTTTCCGATATATCATCCCCAATAGTTATAATATTATTATAAACTAAAATTAAAGTATATACAAATCGCTCGCAAATATAATTATAGTATAAACCTTGAATATAATGTTATATTTAATAATCATTCTATAAAACGTTCAATAAGCAAGGAAACAGGTTTCTATCGTTTTCATTGTTTGAAACAATTGTCCCGTTTCCTTAATTACTGACATTCTGTGTATTATTTCATAGATTCACTTTTTTGTAGTTCAAATAATCGGATTAATTTTTTAAAATTTAACACAATAGTGCTATCTAGTACAATATATCTTTGGATAGATTATTTTATACGCACAGATGGCGCTGTAATGACTGAGTTAAAGGATTAGTTCATAAATAATAATTTTTGAATATGTAATGATTTCATTTTATAATATTATATAATTATTTATTATTGTAATAAAATGTATAAAAAAAATTCTAAATTATTTTGAAAATAATTTTTTAATTATACAAAATAATATATTTTTTTATAATTATGGGTATTTATTACACATAATATTAAACTATCTGAGAATTGCACATTTTTTAGAAATTCATTCACATTGAAAAAAGAAAATTATAATGTGTAATTAGATTTATGAATTATTCTATGCACCTAAATTAATTATTAAAAATATTTTCTTACCGACGTTTTCCATACTTCTTAATGGTGAATCCATGGGAAGGGGCTCTGGTGTCATAACATCTAAACCAGCTCCTCTAATTCGCTTTTCCTTCAAAGCATCTATTAGGGCATCTTGGTCTATTAATTCTAAAACAATCATCAAAATATAATTCTTTTTCAAGTGTGTTGAATAGTTTTTAAAATATTTAGATTTTTTTAATAGATAAAATTAGATAGACTATAATGTTATTTATGTTTTTCATCATGTTATTGAAATAAATAACAAAAAAATAACACTTATATTATCAAAAAATAGGAGATTTGAACAGCGATATACTAGGAAGCTAACCACCAATGTGGTACAAAAAAGTGACATTTCTATGTGCTGCTAAAATAGAAGGATTCAGCCAAAAAAAAAGAAGGATAAAAATTAATTTTTTATCTGAATTACGCTATATTATTAGTTTACAAATTTCGTACCCTAATTTTAGACAGAATTATTATATTTAACTTCATTTTTTGATGATTGTTTTTTTTTTCAACTAAAACTAGACTAGGTAAAAATTTTATTATAAATTAGGATTACATAAATTTATAACCATTAGTTATATTATTGTACACATTATGAACAAAATAACAACACATATAATACTAATATAAAAATAGATTTCTATTAATAATTAATACTGCAACTGTTTATTTATAACACAGTTTTTTAGAGTCTGTTAATTTTTTGTAATCGTATGTTATTTTTAATGTTTATAAACTCAAAATAATGTTTTTAACATTTTTTTTCTTCTAAATATAATTTTTTTTCTAATCTCATGCTATTCACTACTTAATTAATGTACTTAATTTTTTTGAGAATAATAAACTAAAAATATTCATAATTTATCAACGATTAAAAAATAATTAACAATTAAAATTGGTGATCGTTTACTGGCACAAGTCTGAACAGTTTTAACTTAATAATTTCATAACTCTTTAGCCAATGTAATGATAAAAAATATTTTGGTCTTAAAAGTTTATTTGTGGTCTATTGATTAGTATCTACAAAGATTGGAATTTTTTATATTAATTTATTATTCTTTTTATAAATTCCACAAGTTGACCATGTAAATCTTGTAACATGTAATTTTAGTCAAATTTTTATAAATAAAATTTATTACATAATTAAAAAAAAAATCTATTTGTTTTTAAAAAATTGATAAAAATTCTCAGAAAGACTAGAGTTGAGCAAAATTAGTCTTAGAGAAGCCGAGTACTTAATAAAACAAAAATAAATTATAGGTTTTGTATCGAATGATCACAACTATAATAAAAAATAATATCATTTTACCTTAATCTGTTAAGTCATTAACTTGGTTCAGCTAAATAATGTATTTAATATACATAACTTTCAAACTAATTATAAATATTATCATATTTGTTGTGGTATAAATTGATAAAATTGGAAAAGTATAGAACAATATTTTTTACCAATTGTTCAATAAACCTTTAATTGTACTTACCAAGTGTCAGGTAGAACTGAATGTTGATATTTGTTTATATATTTTCGATGAATTTAATAAAAAATAAAACGTCAGCACAGTGTGGACATGGCACAATTGGGACAAGTATAGATGATATCTGACAGTGATTAAAATTACTATCATAAGAAACGCTTCGATGCAAATCTTTAGATAGTGTTTCATTTAGAGAAATTGGTGGATTATTAAAACTAAGTTTTAGTAATCCATGATATCTCTTATTATTCCACGAAATTAAGATTTTAGTATTGATCAAGAATTTTTTTTTCTGTTTTGATATATATTAAGTGCTGATTTGTGGAAGTAAAACAAATCTTGTGTATTTTTCTTGACAACTCTTAAAATTTCTTTTGAAACACATAGTTTACTAATTTTTCCCCAATCATAACTTTAAATTGTATTACTTTTGGGACATTGTAGATTTATGTAGATTATGATATACTACTTATTCCTATGTCAACTGTCCGTTGAGAATATTGGAAACCATGACGTACATTTACTTTTGTTTTTCTTGGGCCATCAAAATTGTTGTGAGATTTTCTAAATTTTTATATTGATAAGTTTTTTTTTTAATTTTTAATGTGAGAGAATATAGATTTTGATTTTTTTAGGAAAGAGCGTTGGATTGGTTAAGAAAGATTAAACCATTAAATTACGTTCCAGTATTATAGTTTAGTGTATTAAACACATGTGATTTATATATTATATAAAGCACATATTAATATTTTATTATAATATTTATTTTGTTCAGAATAAGTGAAAAAGTATACAACAAAATAAAATTCAACTTACGACCTCGGCCTATGTTTATAATCACGACATTTGATTTCATAGATGATAAACGACTTCTATTAATAGTATATCTTGTTTCAGGTGACAACACACTTGTCAGTATAATATAATCACTACTCATGACCAATTCATCGATTGAAACAAATTGACCTCCCAATGATTCCACTGAAAAAAATATTAAGTGTGAATCTAAACAATATATAAACATTTTTTACTTTATTTTGATAGTTTACAATTGATAGAACAATTACACGTTCAAGTTATGACACACTTCTTACCATAAATTTACAGCCTACTATAGTAAAAATTGATCACTTGTGGCTAATATTATTTAAAATTTAAATATATTAAAAATATGATTAATTTAAAACCCAAAATATATTAACAATAATATTAATTTAAAACTAAAAAACCCAGCACAGGGGGGTCGCGGCACAGTTGTGACGTGGTATAGATGGATCAAGTATAATGATATCTGACAGTGATTAAAATCACTATCAAAAATAAACGCTTCGATGCAAATCTTTAGATAGTGTTTAATTTTAAAAAAATTGGTGTTTTATTCCAAAAGCTACTTGATCTGCTGGTTCCTTATTA